ATGATTCTTTGATATTTTTGGCAGATAACAGCAAAGCATTAGGTATAAATCCATTTTCACTGCCAGCATGGAGAATAATGATTCGTTTTCCACGGTTGCATGGTGCATTTAAAATGCACTTGTTGCTGTCGTCAACCCAGCCGTACTGCACAACATCATGGGTATCATATCACGTTTCATCCAGGTAAATCAGATTTCTTTTCTGCTCTCTATAGATTTTAACTTTGTGCAAAAATTCTTGGCGCAATTCAACGATTCGAGACGACTCCATAATCACCATTCTTTTATCTAATTTTTGTATTGAAAACCACACAGTTTTACAATACAGTGCAGTGAATCTAAGCATTTGTAATTATAAAAATCTTCAGGATAATCTTTTAATTTATCCCGTATCATTTCCAACGTGGGCACCAAATTTTCTTTATAAAATTCGTATATTATACGACGAATATCTTCCTGAAAACCCACGTCTATTCTTTTTAATTTTTGCCCTATGCGCTTTCTGTGGAAGGAATGGTTGACTACATCTCCCCTTTTTATAACCCGATAAATGGTAGACCGACTGATTTTTGTCAGGATACAAATTCTGTTTAAAATTTGATTTTGCGAGGAATCTGGATTTTCGTTTTTCAGACAATCATACATATTTAGGATTAATCTTTGGGTCTGTTCCTCTAAGTCTTTATGACAGAATTCTGCCTGCACAGGTTCATCAATCATCTCCTCGTGGCTTGGAGCATTTTCCCAAGGTCTCCAAAGAGCCATATTTAGGACACACAAGAACAATCAACACAACAATTAAATCAACAAGTAAACTGAGTATTCAAAAGTCAAAAACACACAAACTAATAAAATCTATGAAAAAACACGGACAGACTAAAGAAAACACGTTTATTCACCGCTACACGGCACTGGCTAAACTGTTTCAATTTTCAGTAGCCACCTGCACCTTTGATCTTATGCGGCGATTTTTGCAGCAACAGAGCGTGTTAAATATAGATATATAAAACGCACCCGGTATTTCACAGTGTTTCAAGTGACTTCAGATAAAGTATACATACTGTTTAAGTCTGATGGAGAGATTCCGGAATCTCAGGCATACTAGATGGGGGTCCTTTAGGGCAGACATTGACAGTAAGCTTGGAGCGGTCCTATACAGGCTTTGCAGGGGCTCTGACATAAAATCAGCTTTCGAGTCCCTGAGCAGGGACTGCATATGAGGAAAACTGCCCGTTACGCAAAGTCCAAGGTACGGGCAAGGCAACCTTCTGGACCAAAGAATTAGAGGATAGAAAACGAGCGGTGCACAAACTTCTTAGCAGAGTTAAGCACAGGAGAAGTTCTCCACTATGGGAAGACTACAAAAAGGCTTTGCAGGAGTACAAACAGGAGATTAGAAAGGCCTCCAGAAAATCCTGGAGGTACTTCTGTCAGTCCATAAACGACATTCCTGCTACATGCAAATACATTAAAGCAAGATTGGGATCTCTGCATGATCCCTCGGTGGGGAATACTACTTCTGAGGAAGGTACTCTGAGGCTTCTGATGGATACGCACTTTCCCGGTTCCACAGTAGCGCGATCAATCACAGAGTGCATGCAGTTGCGCAGGCCCTCAGGGGAGGACTGGCGCACGGCTAGGGAGATTGTCACCTTCGAAAGGACGGTATGGGCAGTAGATTCGTTTGCTCCATACAAAAGTTCAGGTCTGGACGGCGTATTTCCGGCCATGTTACAGCAGGGACGGAGTTTGGTTGTTCCTTACCTGTTCAATGTGTTTCGAGCATGTTTGGCCACGGGCTTCACACCTAGAAGCTGGCGGCAGGCTAAAAAGGTATTCGTTCCTAAACCGGGCAGAGCTAGATATACTGGCCGAAGGATTTTCGACCGATTACTCTTTCATCTTTTGTGCTTAAGACACTGGAAATGATAGTTGATAGATACTTAAGGGATGGCCCGCTAGAAAGGTCTGTCACTCATGCAAATCAGTATGCATACCAAGCTGGAAAATCGACTGATCTGGCCTTACACAATCTGGTCGGTAGGCTGGAGAAGGCTATAGATCAGTGAGAAGTGGCACTAGTGGCCTTCTTCGACATTGAAGGTGCATTTAATTGCACCACAACCGACTCTATCAGACAGGCCTATCCTAATAGATTAGGTTCTATCTACTCTGGAGGGTCGGGTAACAACAGCTATGATAATGACGTAAGCTGCAGCCTGAGTGTAGCTAGAGGCTGCCCTCAGGGCGGAGTTCTGTCACCCCTACTGTGGTGTATCGTGGTGAACGAACTCCTCGTTAGGCTCAGCAGTATGGGTGTCTACGCGCAAGCCTATGCTGATGACGTAAGCATAGTAGTTAGGGGGCGTTTTTTTAGAACAGTCTCGGAAATTATGCAGGGCGCTCTGCGCTCCGTGGATCGTGGTGTAGGGAAGTCGATCTTTCTGTTAATGCTAAAAGACCGAGCTGATCCTATTCACTAGGAGAAGAAGGCTTGACAGGCTGGTCATTCCGACCTTCTTTGGGACTAGATTAGTTTTGTCCCTCAGTGAAATATCTGGGAATTATCCTGGATTGCAAACTGAACTGGAGAGAGCATGTGAAATACAAGATTAGCAAGGCTCGCAATTCGATGTGGGCTTGTAGACGTGTTGTCGGGGTAAGGTGGGGGCTTAAACGCAAAGTGGTATACTGGCTCTACACGACGATAGTACGTCCATCTCTCTTGTACGGCTCCCTGGTCTGGTGGCCTTGCATTAAAACTGAGACAACTAAGGCCAAACTCAATAAAATTCAGCGTTTGGCCTGTATTGGTATTACAAGCGCAGTGCGAACAACGCCATTGAGTGCAATGGAAGCTGTGCTGGATCTCCCACCGTTGGACCTGGTGATCCGCGGTAAAGCGAGAGTAGTCGCTCATCGACTGTGGAGTCAGGGCAGCTGGGCTTTCTTGAACCCTGTCAAGGGGCATACTGCCATCTTAGTCGAATTAGAAAGGGAGGACCCCGTCCTTCTAAGCAGGGGTGATCGTATTACCCCTAAATATCGCTTCAACCGCAAGTTGATTGTGGAGTATCCAACGAGGGAGGAGTGGGACGCCGGTAGCCGGGGACTCTCCGGAGTGAGCGGTCAGGTCTGGTACACGGACGGCTCGGTCACCGAAGAGGGCTCAGGTGCTGGGGTCTCTGGGCCTAGAACTAGGCTATCTCTGCCTCTCGGTGGATACACCACCATTTTCCAGGCGGAAATCTTTGCGATTCTGGCTTGTGTATCTCACATTCTGGAGGAGGGTGGGCCTAGGAGAAGAATAACAACCTTATCCGACAGCCAGGCTGCAATGAAAGCACTAAATGCCTGTAAGATTACTTCGAGTCTTGTATTGCAATGCAGGGAGGCTCTGGATTGCCTCGCAACGAGGCATCCGGTATCGTTAATATGGGTACCGGGGCACGCTGGGATAAGGGGCGATGAGACGGCGGACACTCTGGCGAAGACAGGATCAGTCAGCAAGCTCGTTGGTCCTGAGCCAGCTCTAGGAGTGATCGCGCATAAAGCTAGGAGGAAAATGGAGACGTGGGTTGCAAGACAACACTCTCAGAAATGGACAAGTATCTCCAGACATCTCCGCCAGGCACGAGAACTAATTGAAGGGCCCAGTGCTAAGGATGGACGCTTCTGCCTATCTCTGGATAGAGCCAACCTAAGGTTGCTGGTGGGACTGTTGTCTGGCCATAACACGTTAAGGCGTCACCTGCACGTGATGGGGGTGGCTGAGGATCCCTCTTGTGAACGCTGGGGAGTAGAGGAAGAGACCTCGGTGCACGTTTTGTGTCGCTGTGAAGCTCTGAGCTACTATAGGCAGACTATACTGGGGTCCATTACTTTGGACCCTCAGGAAGTCAAGGAGCTTGGACTCAACTTCCCTAAAAGGGCGAGACTTGTGATCTAAGGATTGTAGGGGTGCATAAGGGCCCGCTTAAGCGGCATATGCACTGGCTGCTTATGGTGGCCGGAATGCCTGTAATTTCAAGATTCATTCATTCATCTATTTCTTGGCCTAATACGCTGTTCGGAACCAGTCGGAATTTAAAAACGTATGAAGTTGGTAAAAAAAATATCAGATGTTATCACCGCATGCGATTGCCAGCTCTGTCTGTATATTGCACTTAGCAGTGCCGATATTTCTTCACCCCTCGTAACCTGGTGCGATTCCGTGAATCGTTGCATGAGCTATTTCCAAATAAACGTTTCGTCCGGGGCGACGGGGCCGTTCTCAGCAACGACGACGGTTTTTAATTGCGACTGATAGCCCCATTTATCCGCGCATTACAGGTACGAGCCGAAGCCTGCACGTAGTACAAAACGGTAAATTCGGCTGTTTTTAGGTCCGAATAGCGTTCTGGAATCGCGTGAATGTACTTAATAAACATGCAGTCTAGTTCTCGGTTCGATACAGAACCTTTCCTCTTCTGATTTATTAGACTGCACCGATTCCGTTTTCCAACGAACGCTGGGCGAAAAAAAGAAACAGCGCGCCGGAAGGACAACGACTTCGATGAATGCTACGTACTTTTTCGGTTGTAATTGGATTTTTTCGGCTGGATCGATTACTTCGTCGACCTGCTGTCGGGAGATGTTGATAAGCAGATGGGGGAGAACGATGTAGATGAAAACTCATTAAGTCAGGTGTGAGGAGTGCTACTCTGATCGATTAAGTCAGTTTTATGGCAAATATTCACTGATTAACGACTGTCAATATGGTTCTAGAGCACAGCGTCCGACTCAGGATGCTGCGCTCAATTTGTACATTATACTGCAATGGTTAGGGAGAAAAGAAAAGCTAGCCCGGTACATGATGCTACCTAATGCCCGGATTACCCGAGGCCAGTTTTTTAAGCTAGGATAGCAAGCTAGTGCTTTTAAACTAGCAAGCTAGTAGTACTAGCTTCATGTATACAGAACTAGCTTCAGGTATAGGCTAGTAAGCTAGTCAGAAAGACAGTAAGCCAGCGTCTATGCTGGATAGTTTTAATAGCATGGAGTTCTATTTTGTTAAGCTAGCAGCGTCCCCCTCCACTGATTTTACTATCCTGGCTTGTGTACCACCCTCGTCTGGCCGGCAAAGCTAGTGTTTTCGAACGGCAAGTGCGTAGTGTCGACCTGTTTTACTTTTTCAAGGAGATAACCACGTGCTTCTAAAACAATTATTAACATGCCAAAATTAAGTGCCGAGATTAATTTAAAGTTTGTACAATTGTATCGTGAGGAAGAATGTCTGTGGAACGCCACTTTTCCATCATATAAAGATAAGTCTATTCGTGATTCAGCACTACAAAAAATAAGTGGCAAATTATTAGAGCTCGGCTTAGAAATGTCTATCAAAGACATAAAAATGAAGATAAAAAAATTACGAGCAACTTACTGTCAGGAACTGTCAACAATTGAAAAATCAACTAGGTCTGGATCAGGTTCTAAGGACGAGTATAAGTCAAAATTAAATTGGTTCGACGAAATGCACAGTTTTATTAAATGTATACCTATGAAAAGTAAAACAACGGTAAGTAGAATTGCATTATTTATTTATAATACAAAGAAAATGGGTGTCAAAACACAGGGAAATTTTGAAAAGCGTCGCGTTGTCAAGGTGGCACACACATAAACAAACAGTCAAGAAATAATTTTTAATTGCCAAGGCACCGCACCATCATTATTAAAGTAGGTTTTAAAGGCGTCTCTTCTGCTGACATCGAAGAATGATTGCTCCCTTGTTGACATAACATCTCAAGTCCTACAGTTTCTGTTCTCCAAGAGCCATAGGAGATGGTTCCTGCATCAATATCTTCCCGGTCGACATCACTGCTGATTAAATAATTTCGATTTTCTTTTCTCAACCAATTACGTAAAGAGCATGCTGCTAATACAATTTCATCTATTGTTTCTACATTAGTTGCAATTGGTTTTTGGAATACACGAAATCGGCATACCAATACACCAAAGGCATTTTCCACTATTCGTCTCGCTCTGGAGAGTCGGTAGTTATAAACTGTCTGTTCCTGTGTTAAATTGTCACCAGGGTAAGGTTTCATAATATAGGTTTTTAATGGAAATGCGGCATCCGCAACAGTCACTCCACCCTCTGGTAAAATATTATTCTCCAGTTTATTATATATGGAGCAATTTTTAAATACACTTCCATCTGATGCCATTCCACAAGCGATAGTCATCATCTACTAACGCCATAAGAACAATACTGAACACTTTTTTATAATTGAAGTACATACTTCCACTATTACCAGGAGCGATAATTTGAATATGTTTTCCATCAATGTCACCATAGCATAAAGGAAAGTTCCATCTCTTTCTAAATCCATTTTCTATTTTCGCCCATTCTTCGGCATTATTTGGTATCTGCAAAAAATAATAATATGTACCTATTTATTATAATTATTAATAAAGTGTTTTCTTTTGTTTTAGGACAGTCAAGAATCAGCAATAGATGAAGAGCAAGATAACAGCCAAATGAGCCAAGCCAACATTGAAAATAGCAAAGAACATAATATTGACAACAACAATGACAATAGTGATAACAGTGAAGACGTTGCAAATTCTGAAAATTTTTCACCACGGCCATCTACATCTGCGACAGGTAATATACCACAGCGCAACGAGTCTGCGACACCAACTGCGAAAACTACTAGTAAATCAAACTATAAAATGTCAGCTCCAACTCCGAAAAAGAGAAAAATTGCGGAAGTGACATTATTGGTTAGGGAAATAAAGTCGATAAAGGATGATTTAAATAGTACATGTACGGATGAGCATTCTACACCACAACAAAATGAGCATGATATTTTTGGAACTTTTGTGAGTAGCCAACTGAAAATGGAAGATCTGAACTGCGTAACCACCACATTTACATGCAAGACGCCTAGTAGTCATTGCTCTTCAGATTCACACACAACAACTAATACTTTACAATTGCGACTTACATCAGGAGAGTCGGTTTTGTCAATAATTACAGAAAATGAAGATAATTATCAACGACAAAATCCAATCGACGAGATTAATTTCGATTTTTTACGCCAGGACAATGAGAATCCTATTGCTGTAGCATTCCGCAATGCATAATTTTTTTATATTCTTATGTGTAAGGTTGCGATAAAAGTTATTATTAGTACTAACCTTTATGTTTTCTTTCAATGCCTTGAAGATTTCTTCACATACCTCTGGTATCCATTTAGATATGGAACACCTTGAAACCCGATAAAATTGACTCAGTCTTCTGTAACTGATGCCGGAAGAAAGAAAATCTAATATGATACTCTTTTTCGTCTTCATTGCGAAGTTCTTCTAACACCAGTGCGGATGATCCACGTTCATTCCTTTTTAAAATCCATGGTCTTGTCCAAGCGCGTTTTTCCAATAAAGCTTCTGTTAATTCATCCAATGCAATTTGGCACAGTTTCCGAAGTAACTGTTTCAGTCGAACATTGTTTCTTTTAGAAATATTTTTCATTCTCAGTGGGTTTATTGCTCTATTGATCTCTGCAATAGTACTGGCTACTGGCCTAAAATTTCCTAGCATCCTAGCAACATGAAAACCGTTCTAGCATGCGCCAAGCCAGAACAGCAACTCAGGCTAGGATCACCGGAATATCTAGCTTGCTATCCTAGCTTGAAAAACTAGCCTCGTGTAATCCGGGCATAAGGCCCGTATCGTCAGTCGTCCCTACAATTGTAGGGCGCCTTTATGGCCTCCTTGATTGTCATAGTTTTCTACTTCTTCGTGTCAGCGCTCTATTTTGAGGTTATGTCACAAACAACTATTTGCATCATATTGTGCTTGCTTTTGAGTTATATCATGTCTTATCAGCCTGAAATTTCCTACAGTTTAAAAAGAAAAAATATCTTCACAATAGGAGAGCGCTGACGCTGACACGGGACAAGTGTAATCTAGAAATTTTTGTAGGAGAGAAGGGGTATGACAATCAAGGAGGCCATAAACGTGCCCTATAATTGTAGGGACGACTGACGTTACGGGCCTTAGTTAGTAAATTGCACAAATTGTACAGCTCTTGATTAGCTGTATTCATGTCTAGAGAATCGCACTCAAATAGTTAATGTGTGCAGAGACACTGGAACTCTTGAATAATAATAATTTTATTAATAATAATAAAATGTCTTTATTAAAATCACAACAAGGCGAAGTTTAGCCAGCTGGCTACTCTTACACCCAACCCCATTGGTAAGGAAATATGTATGTACATGAAATATAAACCTAAAAATCAATAAGCCGATTTGATGTTCAACTGAGTGAACTGATAAAAAAAGGAAAAAAATCAAATTAAATTGACAAATGCATCCTCTGTTGGTTTGCCACAAAAATACCATATGAGAACCAACGATAATCAGGGCCACACTGAAGAACCACCCTGTAGCTTCCTACATTCTCATATTGCCGCATGACGCTCATCCCATACGGCAACAATTCTGCCATTCCAACCGCTCTCCCTTCATTAATCCTGTCCAGCAGTCCGGGAGTGAGCCGGGATCTTCCAGTGTTGAATATTCACGTCCACACGTCCTGGATCACATGCATGCTAACTCTGCCGGCACAGCATTCGCCTTAAGATGCTCAATTTCCGACGGTTACTCCTGATGAGGATTGTTGGTCTGATTTAGTCACAGTAGAGAACAATGGCGGTGGGTACTTTGGCTACTACTAGGGCTTACATCGCCTGAATTACCGAGGCAGGACAAACGCTTCAAAAACCTCGGATATTTGGATAAAATTAAAGTTTTTCCACGGGCACCCTAGAATTTTTTTGTAATCAGAAAATAAAAGCATCATTGTTAAACAAGTAAGTCATGTCATCTAGCTAGATAGATTAGGCCTCAAAAGAGCAAAGTTTTAGTTTTGACGAGATTAAGTTATTTTACTTATTTTGGTATTTGACAGACTGTACTATTCTACTCCAACAGGAATTTAAGTTAAAAGTCGCAGCAACTTAAATCCTTGAAATTATACTTAATTATGATCAGAGAAAGAAATCGTGTGTGTGTGTTTAGTGAGTGTCTCTATTTTGTACAATGAATGCGTGATTGATCGCCGGATGCAAGAGCTAACTGGCTGTGCGAAATGCTTAAATGTTAATAATTCACCAGTCACAATAGGGTCACGTCTTCACGGGGCTGGTATACGGGACATGTGAAATGAAATCGTCGCACTAGATTATCTGTCTACACACGCGCACTGCGATGATGTCACCTGGCTGGTTGTACAAGGCGGTGCGAGTCGTTGTACCACGGTGATGCATGTTGTACTGGGGTATACTGCAAAATATATTTTTGGTCATGCATCTTACATTTCATAAGATTCCCCTGACACAAAAAGTGTAATTCCTGTAGCAGATATGATCGTTGTTATGACTAAACCCGCGTGGATGACGATATTGACTTGTCCAGCATACAGCCCACAAACAGACTGATATGGTTTTTCGTGTGACATATAACATCCCAAATACATATCTCATTTTAAAAATTCTTGGCGATTACATAAAAGAGAAAAAGGTTCTCTACAATATGTATACGGAGCTGCTCTCTCCCTCGCATCGTTCAACATGAAGAAAGACGGAGATCAGAATAACTTAGTAATGGTTGCCAGATTTGGGATTCGAAAAGCATAATACCAGCGTTAAAAAATAGCCAGTCCAGCGGGGTAGAGGCTGAAGGAGAAAGAAAACTTTAATCCAGACAAGGAGATGTGTCGATTTGAATAATTGCCTATTTAATGATCGATTCCTTGGTGAGTATTCTTCCACCACCAGTGTCCCGAACTTCTCTACTTCCTTGTTCTGTGAAATGTAGTCCGAAAGAATGCTTTCTGCTAAGATCGGTACAAAAGTAAGAATCAGTTACATTAAGTTTGAAGCTTTAAGTTGTTGACCCATTTCACCCCGCTGTTTGGTCTAATGAGGCCCGATTTTACTAAGCTTGGGTGCAAAAAAAGGCGTGGCTGATAAATTCATCCTATAAGAAGGATGGATCTAATGAACATGGTCGACTGTAAGATGCCTCTCAAATTAGAGGATAATTATACGGTTTGTGTCAGATGGGTCCCTAATTCACATATTAAATCTAGAAATACGTCATAATTCCCTTGGCTCAGCTAAATGGTCATGGTCATAAAATGACCCAATGAAAAAGAAGCATTAGCGCCATACTCGAAGCATGGACATGAATCTGATTCAATAGCTAGAGTAGTATGACAGCAATTAAATAAGCATTTTGTTGGACATAACAGTGTTGCTATACAAAATTTTTGTCGATAAATTCCTTGAAGACAAAAATCAAATTACAGAATTCTCCTTCTCTAACAATTCAATATTCAATTTACTTGACTGTGCGAAAAACACTGTTCCTTAAGCCAGCCCTGTTAACAGGGAGCTGTCGCACCCTCTACTGGGCTGTGGGATGACTACTTCTAACCATGGCATCGTCAGCACGGCTCGAAGTTTTCACGTAGGTGTCTTACCGATCAGTAGGAAGCGCGACATTTCCCTGTTAACAGTTGAGAAACAGGGCTTTTCGAACGGTAGTCAAGAAAATTGATTATTCACTCGATGTTTGTTCAACAATAAACAGTTTGTAATTTTATTCATGTCTTCAAAGAATATATTTGATATAATTTTGTACAACAGTAATAGAGTGTCATTTTCGATAAGGTGTTCAGTAATGGCATTATATCAATCTATTGTATCAGGTTTGATCCATGCTCGGTCTTTCGAATTTGTTATACACGTAAATCCTTTTTTTATTGCTGGAATCTTTTGTGTCCGGATACAAAAATATGTTTCTGTAGCTGAATAATGAAAGTATATATGAAGTATATCTTGAACGAATATGAGAATTAGAAACCAACGTACACAAATTGTATACATTATTCTCTAGTTGGAAACATAGGAAGATCAAAATATACATCGTATCATGTTACATTCACTGCGAGATATCTCGCACACATAAGACCGGTCTTTGAGAAGCTGAGTCTTGAACGGATCCTTCAACAAGTTCTTCTTCTCCTTTGAAGCGAACTTGATAGTGTACTCTCTCAATTCGGATTCTCGTTATAAGCATGAAATGGTGTACAGTGACGGGATTAGTTTCACATACGCGAAAGGAGCTTACTTCTTTTCATTTCAATGCACCAATAGCTGAACAGGGTTTCAAATAGGTTTCACGGCAATCCAATGTCGTCGAGCATTTTGAATTTACACAATGGTTCGGAATAAACTTTACCTCAATTTTGCTAGTTGAGCTGCATTTGTCTAAGAATGCAATTTTACAGATATGTGTTCTGTTTTACATTATTAATTCAATCAGAAATTGAGTACAGGGTGCGGCAGTAACATCATCAACATTCATTACTTCAAAGACGCCTTCTAATTGGATAAACTTTCATCAAAGGCGCAAATGTTGAATCCTGCGGATCAACAGTAAAATCTGGCCTAAGGGTTTCTTACTAAAATTAGTAAGCAAGTGAAGATCAATAACACATTAAGTTTAAAGTCTTGAATGATCGATCCCGTGATGAGTATCCCTTCGCCGCCAGTGTCCTCGACCTCTGCAGCTCACGAAGGATCCGTCGGTCACATCCCGGAGACTCCTCAAGGGTTAATTACTGCGGTGGGAGTCACTTGAAAAATTTAAATTGGTTCTTGAGATGGCGAAGCGTTAATTCTTTATGGCTTTCCGAATCTGTCTTTCGCTCGACTCGGCGTAGCTCGCCCGGGATCGCCGTGCTGGCTGTAGTGCTGGAATTGCAATCAGGGAATCTCCTAAAGTCTAAAATAGCGATACTTTCACATGCACATAGTAAGGATGATTCCTACAACTTTAAATTTCAGGAAATTATGACACTTCCTATGTCGGCTGCTATAGCTGACCGTCCTCCTGCGACGAGGTTCGGCCGTGACGTCCAGTGGCGGCTCGTGGCAAAATAAAACAGGTGTTCTGCAAATCCGAACTTACCTATTTTTTACATTTCAGTTCGATCCTGGCTCCTTCTTGGCAGCAAATTTGTAGATCACCTTCCCGTTGAAATATTCCATGGTCGAAATAAATTCCTTTTCAATGGACAGCATCGTCAA